AAAATGGAACACCAACTGAGCTAATCCTGTGGCAGGCTCTTGTAAATCCATTCCCCCACTTTGTGAGGAAGCTAAGGTGGGACCTCAGAGGATTTTAGCAGCGTTAATGAGTGCTACTAGACCCTCTTTTCCATGCATATTTATGATCAGCACATCTTGACTGAGGAAAACAATAATGAAAGCAGCTGATGGGGGTCACGCCACCTTTAAATTATACCTCGTTCTTTTGTTGGGCTGAACATTAAGACCATTACATAGAAGAATGGGTTTCTGCACCGACACACATCCAAATTCTTTCACAGATTTAGTCTGCGTTTGGAAAGAAGCACATTCAAAACCCACGAAAACTCGATATGTTTTATATGTGTAAGTTAGCTGAAATCCGAGGTGGCAAAATGGTCATGGTTGTGTTCCGAGGATTTACTGGTATGTTACAGGAAGGGGTTACAGGAAGGCCCACTTAGGAATTTCCTCATCAATGACAATGCTTTCCCCCTTCTCTCCCCAAATCCCCCCCCCATCCCACCCCCCACACACACGTACACACACTACTAGCCCACGCTTGTCTCTCACCAAATATGAGCACCTTACTACTTCTAATGCTCATGCTTTAAAAGCTAACATTAATCCTTGCTTTTCATACAGCAAACTTAGCATACAAAAAACAATTTGGTCACTCAATCCACGACTGTTTGTGGGGACGCTGCTGTGCGCAATCGGCTGCCGTGTTTCGCCCACAAAAATATACAGTCGATTCACTTTACAGTATATCCTGTGAAGCGCTTTGAGACGTCTCGCAGGCGTGATAAGACGCTGTATCAAATGTAAGGATTATTATTATTATTGATCATGTTGTCGAATTGTCTCGATGCAATTCCAAGGATTTTTACTATTGCAGTGTGTATCTGTAGGCCAACACGACAGCCAACTTGGGCACAGCAATATCCTCCAAACAACCACAAAGTTAAATGTTTCACTGGATTAACTGTGAATAATAATTAGCTACAAAAGAGCTACATGTATTTATTAGTCACGAAAAGAGTGGCATAATTTCAATTGTCCACATGTTTTAGATTGTATGCGTTTCTTGAGGTCGAACGCGTTAAAAATACACGGGAAAATATTTTGGACTATGGAGGAATATTTTAGTGAGATCCTGGTGTTTAGAAGTGGAGTCTTTGAAGGAGCATTGCTCTTTAAAGAAGCTATGGGGGCGGGGGGGTTGGGGGTGGGCTGGGTGTTAGGGAGAAGGATCACAAATAAACCAATATTCTCAAAGCAAACCAAATATGAAAGGATAAAATCAGGACGGATGTTTACTTAAAGCATGGCAGAGCTTCCGAGTGTCATGAAGACATCTGCTAATACTTGGGCTACACTTCAAATACCCTCTTTGCTGTGTGAAGGAGGAATGTTTTCGCTGCATTGCGAGCGACATATTTTCAGATCCCACAGTTCGTACGTCATTCCCTCGAGGGCGACCACATTTTCCTCGGGTTTCTACGCGTCCCTTTCTCCCATCGCGCAGTTATTCTGCGCTTCAGGTCTGCGTGAAAGCTATTTCTATCTGCCAGTTTCTGAACTGGTCGAGGGGAGACTGAAATGATGCCAGTGCTGGTTTCTGTGTTGTTTAATATGACTGCAAGCTGTCTAGGGTAGTGAAACGGACAGCGCAGAAAACACATCAGATGGCACAGACGATGCATTGTCCTGCGAGGTTTTGTGGGCTGATCTATAACCCTCGAGCGTAACATTTCTAACTTCACAACAGACAATATGACTAGTCTGGCCTTTCAAAGTGGAGGTTTGAGTTCAATATATCAGTCTCGGATTCAGTACAACAAGGGAATCACAGTCAGTGTTATTCCATCTTCTTTCTATCAGCAAATGTCACAGAGTGTCCCACTATTTGTGCTCACCGAGTCTCAGTCTAGTGTGAGGAGTTTGGAACACTGTTGAACGCCTTCACAATATAATAGAAAGCGAATTATTTTTTCCCAGTTAACTCATGCGCTACCCTGCACGAAGGGCGCTATATAAATGCAAGTTGTTGTTCTTGTTGTCGTCGTAATTCTGCATTCAATTTTCCCCATGTAATTTGATTGAAAGTGCTTTGTGAGATAGTTGGGAAATCTTTTCCTTGTTTGGTAGAGCACAACTTGATGCTGTAATCGGCATTCGGATGAAAATAAATTTGTGCATAGCAATGTCCCACAAACAATCAGGAAGTGAATGATCCATTTCATCTTGGGGATTGTTGGGCAGGACACCGGGAGAAACTCCTTTCTCTTGACATGATTCCCTCGACTCGATATGGTGTAATGACGTGATTCTCAAAGTCCTTCAGTTTTGGAGCGGCAGCTTGAGAAAAATACTTGACTGAAATGCGCTGTCTTTGCCAACCATTGACATCCACAGAGGTGTAGCGCCACTCTCTGGTAAAGCTGATTAATTTCCTATCCTACGCCTAAGCCTAAAGTGGAGTGAATACATGTTAAGCCATGTAGTCAAAAGAATTATTTTAATTAATGCTTAGAAATGCTTACGTTGAAAGAACGATTTTAATTAGTGCTTAGAAATGCTTCTAATGACTAGACACCATTTTGATTAACGGTTAAAAATGATGATGCAGCTCAGAAAATGACAAGGTGACTTGTTATTGTAGCTAAAAGATTGTGGAAGATGTTTGTCCCTAACAAATTCACGTTTGTGTTAAAGATGTCTCTGTGACAATTCAAGTTTTTATAACAATTCACGTTCTTCTATAACGATAACACTTCTGCAGATTGTATTTTATTATCTTAAAGGTGACGGGAGGAGAAGAATAACAACTGTCGAAAGGAATTAACAACGATCATTTAAAGATTCAACTTTGAGTTCGTGATCAACGTACCCAAGCAAGAGGTTTCTGGTCTGAAGCAAGAGACTGTTCGTCTGACGCAAGATTTTTGCTGCTGTTTGTGACTTTGATAAAGGCATTTGTCTGTGCTATTGACCTGTCTGTTGTCTTTGCGATAATTCAACTAAAAAACTTTACATTTCATATGAAGTAAAGAAATTTTTAAAACATAAGTCGCTGAGTGTCTTTGGTTCCTTTGTTCTCGGGTCCTTAAGTGAAGGAAGGCTCTAAAGAATAAGTTGGTCTTATTGCCCAAACCCTAATATTCCCACAAACAGTCGTGGATTGAGTAACCAATTTTTATTTTTAAGGGATTATTATCCCCGGAAAAGCGATCCGCCAACCAACTAACAACCGGGTTCCTGCTTACTGCTAGGTAAACAGAGGCTTGTGGAGTAAAAAAAACTTGCCCAACATTTCGCCCTGCCCGGGAATCAAATATTCTAAGTCTTTATCAAATGCAAGGATTATTTATTATATTATGATTTCTACAAAGACATAGAATGTTTCTTTTTACACAGCTAAATGTATTCAGTTTTTAAACTTTCTGTATGTGGGAAAACTCATTCTACACTATCCTATCAAATTCTCAGAGGTCAGGTATAGCAAGGATTAGACTGTACAATTCATTGTACGAAACTGCCTCGATAATTGCACTGACTCACGCGCAATGCTCTTTGAGGTTCGACAGACTTAGCGAAAAGGATTGCTGTGTGTTTGTGCCAGCTCTCTCGTCCATGGGCTGCTACACTCAATCACCTTTTCATATTGCTTTCATAGATGTAGTCCAACTGGAAGGATGAGATCAATATACACCAATCATTCAAATTCCTTCAAACACAAGATCAGATAGTTTTCTTTTAGGAAATAACACGATGGGATATAGTAACGTAGGTATGTTCGGGACACGTGTGCACCTGACCGCCAGGAAGGTGGGAGGCGAACTAGATGGACCTGGGTCTTTTTTTCCGTCTAATAATAATAATTTCTCGTGTTGTTAAGTGGATTCAATGCGACACCGCAAACACTGCCACCTTCTGGCAATTGCCTGACAATAACAATACAGGACAGTACAGCTTCCGTGTCAGGTTCATTATCATTTTACTCCTTCCTCTCCTCCTCCGCAGGACTGTTATTCCCTCTGCTCGGGTGCGGATCCGCAGACAAGCCACAAGATTACATTTGCATCGCGCCTTTCACATCGGGGAGGACGTCCCAAGGCCCTGGACATAAGCCGTGAATGCTACCTCGCCAAGCAGTCAATACTCGTGTGTGTGAGCTTTGACAGTCAGTGTTGTTGGCAGGCTATTCAATAAAGGAGGCACTATAGCAAAGCCTGACCCTGTGCTTAACCATATCTACACACTCACGCCTCCAGCAGAGGGACTTGACAGCGATCCCTTTTCCGGGGGTACTAATCCTTTCAAAAATAATAATAATAGTTTGGTCACTCAACCCACAACTGTTTGTGGGACGCTGCTGTGCGCAATTGGCTGCCGCGTTTCGCCCACAGAAAATACAGCCACGACACTTTACAGTATATCCTGTGAAAAGCGCTTTGAGACGTCTCGAAGGCACGATAAGGTGCTATCTCAAAATGCAAGCATTATTACTATCATTATTACTATTATTATCATTACTATTATTACCATGTAGGTAGGTTTGCGTTTTACGGATGTTTTCCAATTAGGGCTTTTCATTTCTAAAACAGCGTTCAGATTCCCGATGTCCTTTCTCCTTCGTCCCCCCCCATTCAGCAGAGTAACGTGCGTTCTCACCCTCCAGCTTCCTCCTCTGTTTTCTCTTTCAGCTTCCCAGGGCTTGACTGCGACAGTAATCATTAACAATAATAATAACATAACAACCCTTGCAATTGATATAGCGCCTTCGCACGGTCTCGAGACGTCTCAAAGCGCTTCACAGGATGCACCGCAAAGTGTGCGCGCGCGGGCGAAACGCGGCAGCCGATCGCGCACGGCAGCGTCCTGCAAACAGTCGTGGATTGAAGTGACCGAATTATTATTAGTATGATAATTATTATTATTATTATCATTACTGCTGGTGCTTGCGAAGTGTTGCTGGTAGTTGTATATATATATATATATGTGTATAAAGTTTGGCAGTGCATTTTGAATGGCTGATGACATGACCCTATTTGGCTTTTCCTGCACACAAAAGAAAAACGGATGTGATGGGGCTGTGTTGGGGTTGAAGATCACAGTCGTTGTGGGAGCTTTCTTTCTGCAGTTTGGCTCATCCGCACAGGTGTGCACAGGTAATGGACAGGTGTGAGTGTGTGGCTGTGTGTGGTGCTGGGGGTCTGCTCACAACACCTCTGGGGTGGGGTGGGGGGGGGGGGGCAGTTGTGTTGTGTTTGCACTGTAACTAATCTACATGTGTGTTGTGTTTTTCTCAGTCACTCTCTTAACACTCTTAGCATTTGGCTCCAAACTCTGACTCACCTTTGCAGCCCCCACCACGATCCGACTGGAAATAATGGGGCATTTTAAGTGCTTTTCATGTGAAATCCTCTGCTTTTTGTTCAAAGCAGAAACTAAACACTTAACCCTTCCACAGCCCTCTCCCTCCCTCCCTACCACACACACACACACACAAGGCAAGGAGCAAACCCAGTAATAAGCTCAAGTAAAAAGGGGAAACTAACTGTACATGTAACAAAAATGGGGGTAAAGAATGTATGTGAATCTACAGCAACTGAGAGAGTCAGAGAGAGATAGAGAGGGAGAAAGAGAGGGCAATCTCTAACCTAGAGAGCTTCTCTTACATAATAAGATCATTGGCAGACCATTTGAAATGCTTCATTGGCAGCCTTTGCCGTTACGACGACGGGGTTTCGAAATCAGGACTGAGTTTGTGAATTCTATCCCACTTTTTTTTTGTTGTTTCCGCATCACCATCATCCCAAAAGAAATTGGCCGCTTCAATCCGCGCCGATTTTTTTTTTTTTCGGTTTTCACCGCAAAATGTACAGTCAATTCGCTTTGCGCTCATATTCTGTGAAACAGCAGCAAAAATGACATTTGTCTGTAGCTCCTTTCACGGCGGGAGGGAGTCCCAAGGCTCTTTGAGACGTCTCGAAAACATGATCAGGCGCTATATCAAATACGAGGATTATTTATTATTATTATTATTATTATTAGTTGCTCTATGGAAGTAGTATTTCCGAGTTTCCAGAATTTGCGTATATACAGCCTTACAGTTTGAAGCTGCTCTTCTGTAAGTTTCCTTTAAGTGCTTTGACCTTACCTCCAATCACTCTGCTTCCCCCTCCACCCTCAGCCACCCACCGCCCTCTAGATTCAACTATATGTCAAATTCTGGATGTCCTAAAATGCTACGTTAATAGGTTATGTCTAGATCAACGTTTGTCAAATGTGGCCACGTGCACACGCACACACACACACACTCTCTTTCCCCTCTTCCCCCAACACTCTGACAATAACACAAAGCAAAGCACTGCAGATGCTGCGAATCTGAAATAAAACCAGAAGTCGCTGGGAACACTCAGCGGGTCAGGCAGCATTTATGGAGAGAGGAAAGTGAATTAGACGTTTCAGGCTGATGAGCTTTCGTCAGAATGGTTGTTGCAGCAAAGCTTTAAAAAACTCCCCCCAAAAATCTCTAGAACCAGAAACAAAATCACTAAATTGGCAACAATGCCAGAATTATTATTATTATTATAACCATTGATCTAGACCCAGGTGTAACTTTATCCCCAGCATATATGGTACAAATTGGTTAATCTTTGATATACATAATTATGTACTGTATTGATATCCATAGGTGAGAAAGCTGTCAAATTATCAGACCCTTAAATGGAATTCCACCCATTGAGCTGCTGCACTTTTCCTGGCAAGCTTTCCTCCTCTTGGCGAGGCAGGAACGCACAACCTGTTAAGGGCTCGGCTTGCGGGGTTAACAGGTGCTGAGTGGGAATAGCCCCTTCTCGCCAATAGCCGGTCCGCCTTTCCGTGTTCTGCTGACGGGCGAGACTGGCTGGTCCGTCATTTGCAATGCCGTGGAGAACTCCAGGCCAATCTGGTTCAGGAAACAGCCAACTGAGGGTTGACTCTCATCCAACATTCCACTGCTGAGCACGTCATTTTGAAACCAATTCAAGGCGACCTATCCTGGCCCTGGGAGAATAAGTCCTGTACTTTAATCAACAGTTGTGTTGTTGTGAAACATTTTTTTTGGCACCAATCGCCACTTTGAGACTTTCCATTCTGAATTGGTCAGTGTGAGGAAAAGCTTAATTTCTTTGCCTTTCTTTTCGACTGTGCCTTTGTTCACCTTCTTCCCCCTCCCCCTGGCTCGGCCCCGGGCTCCGTTATTGTGAAGCGCTCTGAGACGCCGTCCGGCGTGGAGGGCGCTATGTAAATCCAAGTTGTCGTTGTTGTTAATTCTTTCGGCCTTTTGGTTTTAAAACTGCTGCTCTGCACAAATTGGCTGCAGGAATAGTGGCTCAGGTCATTACGAAACACTTTGACTCGCTCGCTTTTTTGAATGTTTGGAAAAGATTCTGAAGTTGGACCTGAATGTAAAAACGCCAAACAGATATTAAAAATGTAAGCGCACATGCTTAACGTTTTTAATTTCTAGGAGGAAAAAAGAATTGGAAATGGACGCCCTCGATGACGAACAGACCCAGGAGAAAGTGCCTTGTTTTTTGATCCAGATGTATCATCCAGAACAAGGCAATTTAAATGTTTTCAACTTCATCAAATTCAACGAAAAGCGAAATTATAAATCGTACGAGACAATGACCTTTGGTCGGAAAGACACCTGCAATGTCCGACTGAGCCACCCAAGAGCTTCCAGGTTACAGTTTCAAATTGAAGCTTTCCTTACGCCAGATAATTCAAGACTTCAGTTCGAAGTCAAAAATCTGAGTGACAGATTTTTATTGTATCTCAATGGCCAAGAACTGAGTTACTTACAGAAGCACCATCTGCCTTGGAGTTGTAATCTCAGGTTCAGTGAGTTTGAGTTTTATTTGGAGCAAGAAGAAGGGGAAACAGTGATGCAGTATGATGTTACATTTCAGAAGAGGACCCGCGTCCCTTGTGAAAATGAAAGCCCCAGCGTTTCTTCTCAGTTTGAAATGCCTTATCAGAACCTGCATCGCATATTCCAGGAGCCGGTGGAAGTTGGTGAAGACCTTGAGCTGCATATGGTTTCCTAAAAGAGCAAGAATGCACGACCATTTTGTATGTAAGCCTGGCTCGGTTGGTAGCACTCTCCCTCCTCCCGACTCAGAAGGTTGTGGCTTTGTAGCCCGACATCAGAGCTTTGAACTCACAGTCGAGGCTGGCACTCCAATGCAGCGCTTGGAATGTTCTGCGTTGTCGGAGGTGCTGTCCTTTTGATGAAACATTGATCTGAGGTTATGTCTGCCTCTTCAGCTAGGCGTTAGAAATCCCGTGGTATTATTCAAAAAGAGAAGAGAGTTTCTCCTGGTTGGTGGCCCGGCCATCAATCCCCAAAATAAAATTGGTCATTCCTTTCTTGGCTATTTGTGGGTCACTGCTTTGTGCAAATTGGCTGCTGAACTTACTTACCAAAATATAATCATTGTATTTTACGGGAAATTCTGTGAAGTGCTTTGAGAGGTCCTGCCAACATGGAAGGTGCCATATCCTGCTATAAAGATTTTATATTATTATTTTCAAAACTTGTGTCAAGCCAGCAATCCCATTTTATTGTTCTTTTCTTTTGCCATATACTGCAGATGTTTTGAGTAGAAGTGACAGAGGTCGAGAGATATAGTTTTTTTCAATTTTTACTTTTCTGTGATTTATATACTTGAATATATGTCATATAACCCATTTATTGGATTGAATACAAATGGAATGCTTTGTAAATGTATGTAGTGGATTATAACCATTGTAAACTATAACCATTATGGTCCCTTTTTGTTTAAAATTCACAATTTACTGATCGATACTTAGTTTTCATTCTCATTTTCTCTAGTGTTTGTCTGGAATCTCCGTTACATCAAAGTATGTTTTCTCTTTGATGTTCAATCTGCCATGTTGCTATGATCTAATATGTTCCCTTGACCTTTCCCCATTTATCTTAATGCCGTGTTCTTCTTTAAACTCCAGAATGGATTTGTCCTGACTTTCCACTGTTTGTTTAATTCTTGTACATTGGACTCTCATTCACTAATACTTAATTGCATTCTGTCGTGACATTATAATTCAATAAAATCTATTTAACAACAGCAACTTGCACCCTTCACATTTAGTAATGCCTCAGAGCACTTTGAAGACGGGTACTGCTGGAATCTAACCAATAAAACTGCACAACTTACCATTAAGAGGGCTGTCTGGAAAGCATCCCACTGCTTGCCCAGCTAGGACCACGCTATCTATTTAGCTTGTTGACTTGAGGGTTAACAGGAACCGAGTGGGTAGAATTCCTGCCTCCAATGAGTCAGTGCTCTGGAGTATTGCGGACCCACCTGGCTCAGGAACTGGACTACCCAAACCGCCACAGAGGATTGACGCCATTCCAATATTCTGTTGCCAAGAATGTCACCCTGGAGTAAGTTACCTCACCCCTCACTCCCACCCCTCGTAATTACTTCTTTAGCTCGAACATTTCACGATTGTACTTTTTCCAACCCAAGGGCACCCTTGTATGAGCAAAAGATTGTATTTCAAAAAGCTAAACAGACCCTTTTTTTTATATATAGAGCTGATTTGATTGAGTTTATGTGGACCAGATGGTATTAAATTTTCAAAGGTGCCTTTGGCACTAACGCCTAACTAAAATATTCACTGTTCTGGCAATAAACTGTAGCAGATTAGTATCAGAGGGAACCAATATGACTTCTACTTTCTCTTTCTTATTTTCCCCTTCGATTTTCCCTCCTGCTTCCCTGGAAACACTGACTTAAGCTAAGATGTGGCTCCATATATGCCGGGCACATTCTGGTACCTGTTGGCATACTTTGACGTGTGCAATGTGGGTCGTAATATATCTTTTGTTACATGACAGCAATTTGGGGAATTCCAGCTCTGCATTAGAAATATAATCGATGTCAGGATGAAAACCTCGAGAGAGACAATTCAGCTCTCTGAGAGTTTCTGTGTTATTTAATTGAAACCCTCAGCTTACATTTTGACCTTTTACCTTCACAGCAAGCCACTTTTCATAAACCATGTTGTTTTCTTAGAAGCTTCAGCAATCTAATTTCTCTTGTGGGTTCAACCCGATGATGGAACATGGAACACGCATAGTCTAGGCTGACACTCCAGTGCAGGTTCGGGGGAGTGCGACATTGTCGGTGCTGCTGTCTTTCGTTAAGTGTTTCATTTAACATTGACCTCGGTCCTCGCTCACGACCGAACCTTCAGAGGCTGAGAAAAGTGGAACTGTCGTGAGTATCATTTTCGACCACCCCAGTCAAAAGCATTCTCTTTTCCAAACCGTTCGGCAGCCCAGTCATTTTGACCCAAGGGGAAGTCTGAGCACATCTCTATTAGTGATTGGAAGGGGAAGTATTGAATCTAAACCGTCATTATTCCAATCCTTCAATTGGGTATATAGTGCCTTAATCATGTCAGAATCACAAAATGTTGCTTTTCCATCTCCAATTGAAAACGTTTCTCATCTGCAGTAACTTGCTCTGAAGAAACTGCAACTCCGAAGAACCCCCTCCAGTCTCTAGCTTCCTCCAACCCCTCCCGCCCACCCTCCCTCATTCCACACTTTTGACCCGGTCTCTCCTTCATCCCTCTCCACCCTCGTCTCCCACATGAAACGGACCACATGCTCCCTCGACCCCATCCCCACTCCTCTCCTGAACTCCCAACTCCACTTTCTTGCCCCACCTATTAACAAGCATCAAAAACCTTTCTTTGTCCACTGGCACAGTCGCCACCTGTTTCAAAACAGCTGTCATCATCAACAACAACAACAACTTGCATTTATTTAGCGCCCTTCACGTCCATCCTTGTTCCCTAATTACTGTCCCATCTCCAACCTGTCTTTCCTCTCCAAGGTGCTGGATTGATAGCCACCCAGTCTATGACTCTTAGCTAAGGCCTTATACTCCTGAGGTTTTTCTTGCCTAAAGTTGTACACCACAGTTTCCTCAGTTAAACTGAATGTTATTGAGCTGTGATGGCTGTCCCCAATGGATCAACTACTTCCACTTCCTGAATCGTATCTGGGTCACTGACGAGAACTTAAATCAAGAAGAGAACTGCCCTTTGTGGGCTGCCTGACACACTGAGTCAGGAAACAGTCATTCACTACGTTTACCAGCTCGGAGTCTTTCGTACTTGTGTATTCCCAGTTTATGTTGGGCTGATTGAAGTCCCAATCACATCTACCTTCTCTTTCTCACATACACTCCTAATATTACCATACAATACCAAGTCCCTGCTTTGGCTTGACAGTCCATAGGAAACCCCACGTTAGTCTCGACTGTTTCTCGTTTAGCACATCTAACCAGAGGGTTTGATACTGACTCCAACGACCTCAACCGACAGATATCCCTTTACATGGAAACCCCTCCACCTTTCCTATTACTTTGATCTTTCCTGAATATCCTGTATCCTTGCAAGGTCACAGAATTTAATATGAAGTGACTGTGTATTTGTGCACAGCATTATTCCACAAACACCTATGAAGTAAATGACCAATTTAATTTGGGGGATTGTTGGCCAGGACACCCGGAGAGAGGACTCCCTCCTCTTTTCGAATAATGTCATTGGATCTTTAACTTCTGAACAAGCAGATGGGACTTTGGTTTAACATCTCATCCAAAATGCACAATTCCCTTTAATTAAGAAAAATGAACTGCACAGATTTGTTTATTTTATCTCAACAAAGTTTGAAGGAAGTTCTGTAACTTATACATTTACGACTGTGCTTATCGCCGCCTCTCCCCTCTCCCCCCGGCTTGGAATCAGGCTCCGCCACTGTTAAGCGCTCTGAGACACTATCCTGCGTGGAGGGTGCTACATAAGTGCAAGTTGTTGTTGTAATTTTGAAAAATAAACGTATGCACATGTCTCCATTTACTGTGAGCAATAAAAACCCTGCGCCAATTTTTGAAATGTTTTCCAAAATATTCCTTGAACAACCAACAACATTTAAAATGTGAGGAGTACAGTCAGACACTGGTTTATTATTCATGTTCCAAATATTTTGTCTTATGCTGTAAGGGCGCCTCTCTCTTTGTTTTCTCCCACAATTTTGCATCGGAATTTTTTTCCTCTGTTTATCCTCCTCTATTCCCAAAAGGCAGTGATTCACGATCACCTCTTACGTTGAGGGTTGGTGGGCTATTTGCCCATAATGTACTGCAAGAAACACGACAGAGTTTTTGGAGGTCAAGAGGATATCCGACACACGCAGAAACCCACCACAGTGCGTCAGAGAATCCAAACCGCACTGAGAATTCCAAATATTTACCACGTCGGTGCTTTCGAGACTGTAAGAAAACGTCTCGAAAGGAGAGACGAGCATTTTAAAGGTTTAGATAAAAAATAAAATACAAAAAAAAAACCGGGGTACCGGCCCAAAGCTGTTCTTTTCGCGAAACAGTCGTTAAAAGTTGAACCGTTAAAATAAACAAAAATTGGAGTTAAGGCACAGGTCGGCCGGTGATCTAATTAGATGGTGGAACATGCTCGAGGGGCTGAAGGTGGGGGGTCTACTCCTGTTCTTATGTTCCCATCTACGGGACGGCTTTCCGGGGATAATGATCCCGTCAAAAAAAAAAAAAAAAACTGGCCATTCAGTCCGCGACTGTGCGTGTGTGGCGGACGCTGCCGCGCGCAATCGGCCGCCCCCGTTTCGCCCGCAAAGCGCACCGTCAATTCACTTGACGGCGTATTGCGCGAAGCGCTTGGAGACCTCTCGAAGACGTGACGACGCGGCGCCGCGGAACGCGGGTGACGACGACACTTGACAATCCTCGCGGTTTTGACGCCGCGCCCTTCGTCGCGTCTTCGAGACGCCCCGAAAAGCGCGTCGCGGGACCCGCCGTCAGGCCACTCGGCCGCGGGTTGCGTGGCCCAAACGCGAGGTCTGCGTCCGAACGCACGGACTGATCATCATCATACAGTCAATTCACTTTACAGTGTGTTCTGTGAAGCGCTTTGGGACGTCCTCCCGACGTGAACAGCGCTATATCAAATAGAAGGATTATTATTATTATTATTATCATCATCATTTGTAATATGATACACCGCAACGGCGACAAAACAACAGCGACAACAGCAACAGCGGCCCCACCACAAAAAAAAGCGCCCGGTTGGGCGTGAACCCGCCCAAGGTGGGCTCCCGCCCCGCCCCACCCCATTGGGCGGGTTGGGCGCAGTGTGCGCGGGTTGGGCTCGACGCGCGGCATTGTGGGAGAGGGAGGCGGCCACTGCGCAGCCGCGAGCCGCCGCCGCCGCCGCTCTGCAGACGGACACATTGTTTCCCCGTCAGTGAAGTGAGTGACATTGTATCCGTTTCCCTCCGCGGAGCCGCTCTCCCCCTCTCCTCCTCTCCCCCACTCCCCCCCCCGCGGCCACTGTGTACCCCATCGCCTCGCCGCCTGGTCCAGGGCCGGATGCCCAGGTCAGGCTTCCCTCACTCCCTCCCTCTTCCTCCCTCCCTCCCTCTCCCTCCCTCCCTCACTCCCTCTCCCTCACTCCCTCTCCCTCACTCCCTCTCCCTCACTCCCTCCCTCTCCCTCCTTCCCTCTCCCTCACTCCCCCCTCACTCCCTCTCCCTCACTCCCTCCCTCTCCCTCCTTCCCTCTCCCTCACTCCCTCCTTCCCTCACTCCCCCCTCACTCCCTCTCCTCACTTCCCCTCTCTCCCTCCCTCACTCCCTCCCACTCACTCACTCCCTCCCCCCCTCTTAACCCTCACTCCCTCTCCTCCTTCCCCTCTCTCCCTCTCTCTCCCTCCCCTCACTCTCTCCCTCCCCTCCTCTTCCCTCCCTCCCCTCCCTCTCTCCCCCCTCCCTTTCTCTCCCTCCCTCCCTCCCTCCTCTCTCTCCCTCCCTCCCTCCCTCTCTCTCCCTCCCTCTCCCTCTCCTCCTTCCCCACTCTCCCTCCCTCTCTCCCTCCCTCACTCTCTCCTCCCTCCTCCGCTCCCTCCTTCCCTCTCTCCCTCCTCTCCCTCCTCCTCTCCCTCCTCCTCCCCCTCCTCCTCCTCTCTCCCTCCCTTCCCTCACTCTCTCCCACCCCTCTCTCTCTCTCTCACTCACCCCCTCTCTCCCTCCATCTCTCTCTCCCTCACTCCCTCTTCTCTCTCTCTCTCCCCCCCACCCCATACACACACCTCACGCCCCCCACATACATACACTCCCCCCCCAAACACACACACCCATACACATACCCCCACCCCACTCACACACATACCCCATTCACATTCACCCCCCCACACAGACACAACCCCCCCAAACATACACCCCTCCACACATACCCCCTCCCACACACACACCCCCACACACACACAAAATATAATCATCATCATCATAATAATCCATAAATACATTGTCTTGTCATGTTTTCTAGACGTCTCAAATCGCTTCACCTGGGGGGGCAGACTGTAAAGTGTAGTGACTGTGTGTTTTGCAGTATGTATTTTTATATATAGAGAGAGATATATATAACTATATAGATATAGATAGATATAATGGAGACTTGTGCAAAGTAGCAGCAATGGAAGGAAAGAAACAAGGCCTTTTTGCCATTCCGCGCCAGGTTAAGACTGTGATTTTTTTTACAATAATACAATGATTGCAGTCCTGTGGTTTCACTGAGATCTGTTGGTAATAATGTTTACTTTTAATTAAAAAAAAACCCAAAGGGTCTTGTATCTGAAATGTCAAACACAGCTCCTTCTAGATGGAGCCCTGCTGTGTCTCTCTTTCCCTCCACCCCCCCATAAGGAAATACAGTAATAGGTTAAGTGACCGATTCCACAAGAGGCGGATGTTTTGAACGATCAGCCGGTGCGGCCCGAGAAATCGCCAATGATTCCTGGTTTCCTGGTCCCCAATCGCGGCTTCTCTCACTCATCCCGTAAATAAAACAACGTACATAAGATCGTACGCCGAATAACAGTGTGCAGTATGCTCAGCATCTGATTCCACTGATTGCATCTGTCTGCAAATATTTCTCCAGAGCCATCTATAGACTGTTTAAGACTAGATGGGAGAGTATTTGTGGGGGCATAACAATATTTATATCTGTATATGAATATTGCGGGATCTATTGGAACAGTTTAATCAAACTTGTCTGCTCACAATATTAGTGTATCACAACTGGGTCCGTTCATGTGATTTCCCCCGATTCTAGTTATAACTAAAAGAAGACTCATTTTGAAGTGATATTTATTTCAGGTTGTTTTGCTGCTTATTTCTGGTTTAGATTCGAGTTCAATCGTTCACCCCCCTCCGCCCCCCCCCCCCCCCCCCCCCCCCGCCCCATACAGCTGATATTTTCGTACCAACAATCTGTGAGGACATTAAACACAAACTTATTCCCAGTAAACTGGTAAATCCACATCCAATAATAACAATAAACATAATCCTTGCATTTGAGACAGCGCCTTATCACGTCTTCGAGACGTCTCGAAGGGCTTCACAGAATAGACTGTAAGTGAATTGACTGTCTTATCCTGTGGGCAAAACGGCAGCAGCCAAATTGCGCACCGCAGCGTCCCTCCCGCAAGGATTGTTTGGAGACCTGTGAGGCTTGTTGGTTTGGAGGGCAAAATTGTGCGTCAGAACTAAACCGGGAACGAATCGGGAATTAACTCTTACGAAATTCCAAGTCTGTGAAATAATGTGCTGAGAATGGTGGAATGTACAAGCAATCTATTGTGGAGCACAATGTGGCGTGTGCCGGTTATTGTATAACAGTGTGAAATGAATCCTGTGGGTGAGTTGCAGACTGCAAGCTCATTGCAAAGTTTGGATGAAACTATTCGCTGTAGTTATCCAAAGGTGACATGATGACAGCATCGAAATCATCCCGACTGTCTGCTTCTAAAGAATACTCTCTGTAATCGATGAAAATATTTACTTACTGTTGGATTTTTTGCTCTTTTTACAAATAAATGCCACGGTATAATAATAATAATAATAATAATATCGCGTCTTCGAGACGTCCCGAAGCCCTTCGCGGAATATACTGTAAAGTGAATCGACTGTGTATTTTGTGGGCGAAACCGGCAGTCAATCGCACTCAGCAGCGTCCCCCCACAAACAGTCGTGGATTCAGTGACCAAATTATTATCATTTACTTTTTTTTAATTTCATGCATCCACTGTGTAGTTGACGCACGATACAGTCACTCGCTAAAAAGTTGTGGCTGTGACGTAATGACTGCAACTTTACCACATCAAAATCCAGTGATATCCAATGTAAAATCCAGTGATATAAATGTCAGTCTCTGTGTATATTATTGTACACAGAAGCTTGTAGGAGGTAACTGAAGTGAGTGGATTGCTGCTCACTTTACAGCATATATAACCACAAGTTACGCATGTAGTATTTATATAAACAAAGTACATTATTTTCCTTGTAGCACTGTGGCAGGTAGTTATGCTACTGAAGAATGCAAAAAAACAACAATATGGAGGATCCTTGCTGACCTTTAAGACCGTCTTTGTACTTTTTTTCCATCAATAAATACCTTTTTTCAGTGAAAGTCAAATGGTAAAAAGTAATTTTCATCCAATTATGATGTTCAAAACTTTAGAAAACTTAAGAGACAGTTATTGTGAGTAAGTAGAGTGGATTACGGTTACTTCCTACTGATGGTGAGATGGAGGATGGAAACATCTTTAGCGTTTAACGTGGTGCCAGCCTTTTCTGGCAAAACAGTCCCGGATCATTTATCTCGCAAACACATGATAAAGGGTTCCAAGTGGGTGAGCGAAAACCCGTGTACCACATGCTGTTCTGTCCAAGAGTTTTCATAAATGAAGGCAACACTAACTATGTGACTAGATATTAAAGTTCTCCAGATATTAGTGTCAGATTTATCTTAAAATAGTTCATCTTTTATATATGGGGTACTTTTGAATTTGTGTCAATTTAATGTGTTGGTTGCTTAAAATCCATCAGTACTTTTGTTAGTTATGGAGTTCTTAATTATTTCTTACCTACAATTCAATTGAACATTTGTTTGCAGTCAGCGGATGATTTGTAAAATCTGGATGATATGATATGCTATGTGATAGCCCATCAGTTACGAATAGAAAGGAAGGAAATCTCAGCCCAGAATAATTTAATCCCTATACTTTACAGTGACTTAAAGATCCATTCTCTTCATGAAAACGTTTTTGACCATCTATTTTTCATTTGATTGTAACTACAGTAGATGGTACGATCATTATAAGGTTGTCCCCTCTCACAAAAGTCATGGCGATGGCACATTGACTTACGACTTCTCTGACAAAGACCGAATTTAGTGCCAATTTATGCTCACAAGAGACTGGTTACAGAGCACTGCGATAGTATTTTGCGCTCTTAAATATACTTGAAGAATAAGGTAATTGTCAGGTCCAGGCCGGAGCATTTGTTTAATTCCACTAGAATGACTGTACAAATCACGCACAATGTCAAGTGAATCTAATCCAGTTAGTGCACATTGCCCCAATTAAAGTAGGCAGCGTGGAGGCAGGTTGAGTATCAACTTGCTCTGCTAATTTTGACAGATGCTTCTCGAGTAAAGGTTGGTCGATTTATTTTTGTTGAGCGAAAATTGGCAGCTTACCTTGAGTATAAGGGGCCAATTTCCAGTCAAAATCAAATTGACTCGATTTTGCTTCACATTATCTATCCACTGTTGGGTGGGGAGTGGGGGGGGGGGGGGGGGAGACACTAATTAAACTGGCAAAGTGTGTTTGGAAAATGGTACCCGGTAGGTTTTCCGTGGCTTCGTACGCGCATCAAATCTCCATGAATCTCGAACCGTTTTGTAACTCGTGCTGGTCGACAAATCCTTCCTCACACAAAACTCCGTCCCCCCATCTCACCAGCCCTCGCCAGCTCCACTGACTCCCAATTACTGATCGGATGGATTTCAAGATCCTCTCACTCGTTTTCAAATTCCTCCATGCTCTCGTACCTCCCTACCTCTCCGATCTGCTTACCTCCCCATTCCACCACCCGATGTCTCCCCTCGGCTGGCTCCGGCTTCCTGTTTGTCCCTCGTCACCTCCGCCACCGCCATCGGTGGCCGTGCTTTCAGCCACTATGCCCCAAAGCTCTGAAACTTTCTCCCTCAATCCTTCCTCCTTTACCCCCTCCCTCCCCACCTTCATACCCCGCCTAAAGACCTTCCTTTTTGATTGTGCTTACGGTCACCTCCCCCCTCCCTCTCCCCCTGGTTCAGTCTCAGATTGAGTTGGCAGCATAACCGACATAATCAGACTCCGCCACTGTCATGCACTCCGGGACGCTAGTCCCGGGTGAAGTGCACTGTACGAATGCAAGTTGTTGTTGTTGTTGTTGACACCCCCAGTTTACCAACCAAAATAATGTTTGCTTCCACATCAAAGGGACACCAACTCAAGCTGAGAAGAGGGAAGGTGAACAGACAGCGGATTGAATTATTTTACACTGAGTTTGGTGAATATGTGAAATAACGACTCAAGGAGGCCATAGGGGCAGAATGTGTAAACAAATTCAAGAGGGAATAGCTGTTGGCCAAAGAATTTAATTGAGGTTTATATGGAGTGGTGAGGCATGGAATCATTTCTTAATTAATTCTTTTTTAATACCGTTTTGACCGGCCAAATGATCTATTTTCTGGCCCTGTATATGTGAACGGGAGAGAATAACAATTCAACTCATTTTCCAACTGGATTGAGTTGACAGCATAATTGACATAATCGATTTCGTATCAATAGGTCATCAGTTCTTGCATTTGATATAGTCCCTTAACATGTCATCAAAACTTCTCAAAGCGTTTCACAGGATTTTTACTTTTTGAAATACGGTGACAAGGTATTTCACATCTCTGCATGACATCAGACATCAAATTAAGAACAATTTAAGGATCATTAAAATTTGCATCTTGTTTACAGATTTCTGCCAACAAACGTTTTTTAACCTGCGGTCAAATGGGTAAAAAAGAAGATTTTTACCCAAATTTCGTTTATTAAAAAAGCTGATGTTATTTTTTTAGTTTTGGTCACTCACTTCACGACTGTTTGTGGGACACTCCTGTGCACAATCGGCTGCCACGTTTCGCCCACAAAATAATAATAAAAGGTAGTAACCCTTTCATTTGATTTAGCACCTTATCACGTCTTCGACACGCTATATCAAATGCTAGGATTATTATTATTATTAATACAGGCATTCCCTTTTCTCTCCCTCTTCTCCCCCCTCTCAGAAACTAACCGACAACTGTAAAACACTAATGCAAGGATTATAGAATTGGTATTATTATATAAATCCAAGTTGCTGTCGTTGTCCAATGATGCAGGTTTCAGGATGTGCAGTGTTGGATCCTATGACCATTCTTGGTCAAAAAATTATTTGGGTTTGTTGTCCCTCTCCGTGACGGCACAACAAAAAAAGTTAATATTTTGTTGGCATTTGAATTGACTTCTTGAGTTTTTTGAGGTTCAAAAGTAATTCCTGACTCTCAGCGATTTTCATCAGATTTGTGTCAGTTTGTTTCTCCTTGTTTTTCTCCTGTTTTGTGACAGGAAAAGTAGACCCCAAAGAATACTTTTTTTTTATTTTATGGATAAAAACTGACTTTAATGGTCCTTAAGAACATGGTACGTTCTCGCAATTTAAACAGGAAAGGGCGTATAGTGGCTTTTTATTTCAATGTTGAAGAGTTTAATGGCATTGGAGTTACACAGGAAGCCTAGGTCAGACACCAGACCTGGTTTGTTTATGTGGTAAGTCTTGACAATCAATATTTTTGTAACGAAAAAGTGTAACTAAATGCTCCCGTATGTGAAGAAAGAAACTACTGTACGTTTTTTTTCTGGATGTGATTACCAGCCGTGCACCACTGATGTTGTGATGAGAAACACAAGTTGAGGTTCTCCACTGGCTTAGTGAGTGAACAAAACACCACGTGGAGTGGTACTGAGCTCTACTGACGCCCGATTTATCCCTTGTTAGTCCTGAGTTAGACAATCCCAACCAGGGTGGGAGTGCTGCCATAGGACAAAACGTCTCCTGGGCTGGGGAGAAGGCAAAATGGATTTGAACCATAGAGATTTACCATACAGAAGAAGGCCATTTGGCCCATGAATCGACGGAGAGGAGAGGAATGTGTGTTTGACTATCCCCCAAATATAGAGTGGGGTGGGGGGGTAAACTCAGCTCTTGTCCTGCTTAAATTGGTATCAAGAGTGAGATCTTCTGGCTCTCCGAATGGGGAATATTTCATTAGTGATAGTGACAGTGGATAATGACCCACGCTCACTGTCAGACCACGCGTGATACTCTATGAGGAGAGCACTGGCTGTTTGAACACCTTTAAATAGGGCTGCTTTTGTTGGACTTTCAATTCCCCTTTGTAGCTAATTATTATGAAAAGCTTTGATAATCCTGAATTATAGTCTCGTACAAGGCTGTCAGTATCCACGTCCCACTGGAGTCTGAGCCCATAGCAAACCGTGCAATCTGTGAACATTAAGGGTTCATTAATATTGAACAAGAGCATAACTTTGAAATCATCGGACCACGAGCTACAAGTTTGTTGTCTTGCGTTATTGTAGGACGTCATAAATCTCCACAAGTTTTAATCTCGGAGCAAGGATTCTTGTTTGTAGTTTACTTTGCAGAGTCTAAAGAAGGGTTAATAATGTTTGGAAGGTTGTATGATTGATGACAGTGTTCCATGATGATTGAGTTCCTAATGAGCGGTCTATCGTTGAGACAGAAGGTGATACAGGGTGTTGGATCATAATAATAATTCTATAATTCTTGCATTTGATACAGCGCCTGATCACACCTTTGAGACGTCACAAAGCGCTTCACAGGATACACTGTCAAGTGAATTGACTGTACACACTTGATGTTGTTAACCCACCTTGTGCAAATCCTGTGCATACCCTGTGCACACCTTTTGCACGCCCTGCGTGGAAGGCTTCTTATTGCACCACCATCTCCCACAGAGAGGACAACTTACATCCGGGCCTCTGCTTTATGCTGTTTGATGGGCCGGCTGATGGAGGCTGCCCTTTACATTTACACTCATTTACAGATGTCTTAATTGTTGTTCGAAATATTTTCTGAATGTCCTTTGTATGCTAAATAATAAGATGGATTGTAATAGTAATAATAATGATAATATAATAATAATAGTCCTTGCATTTGATATAGCACCTTATCATGTCTTCGAGACATCTCAAAGCGCTGTCAAATGAATTGACTGTATATTTTTGGGGGCAAAACGCATCGTTACATCAATTTCGCCTCTGAAATGTAAAATAATGCCGGGTTTCGGGAGCTAAACTGCTTGCCAGCAAACTACGCTGTGCTGAGTATTACAAATCCCACTTTCTTCATAACGCAGTGCTGCAGCCTTCCAAAAGTTCACCAGTTGCTGGACAGATGTAGACAGACGCCAGAATACATTGTGTTCCTGTTCCAGACATTGCCGATTTGTCAGAGAGAAAACGAGAAGAGATGACAGCAGCGCAATGTAGATTCCTCAAAGAACACAGCGTCCGTTGTTTATTGGGGGCACAGTATTTTCTGGGTTTACTATCACATTGACTCTCTCTGTGTAAAGTTTATTGCTTTTTTCCTTCACCCCTACTTTCTCCTCTTTTCGCCCCCTCCTTGAGATGGTAGTTCATCCTAGTCTGTCATTCCCAAGAGCCTATTATTTCAACTGTGAGACAAGCCAGGAAAGTTATTGGACTGAAAGGGAGAGGGAGAAAGAGGGAAGATTCACAGTAAAGCTTGATCCTGTCCTCACCTGTTGTACACACATGCATTTACAGCCTTCCCCAGCCCAGGGACCTTGTTGATTAGAACAAATCTATTTGATTAATATGAAGAATTGTTCCAGGAAGTTTACTTGGCATTGTGCTGGTCTGACAGATCGTGGAGTTTCAACTAATTCTGGAATTTCCTGACATCTGGTATTGAGAGTCTCCCAAGATCACCACAAAAGCCTACTTAACTGTTCCACTGAACACCACACACACATCAACACACGAGTTCTCTGTATATGGATAAGAACCTTCTTCAACTTAGGGGAATTGTTTGTCAGGTCGAGTTAACTCAATATTAATTAGCTGTGGACCGCAAGAGAGGTTTGGCCAATCAATCTTTCCAAACCAAACCTAAATAACATACTTGCGTGGTTCTGTAGAGAGTCAGGAATACTAACCAACTGTCTTTGCAATGAAAGCATCAAGCGCCTCTTAAATGAGTGTGTTTTTCAGGCCTCGGCCACTCTTCCTGTAGTACTTCCACTTGTTGATTACCTCGAACTTGTGCTTTCCTGTTCTGTTGCCTTGTCCCATCTGAAAATAAATAAATAATAATAATTTGGTCACACAATCCACCACTGTTTGTGGGGACGCTGCTGTGCACAATTGGCTGCCGCGTTTTGCCCACAAAATATACAGTCAATTCACTTTATAATATATTCTGTGAAGTGCTATATCAAATGCAAGTATTATTGTATTATTATTTCACTGAGTTACTTTCGCTGTTCAATTAAGTGTTTCATATACAGTACTTGTATGAGGTGAATTTTATAGCCAAACCGAGCAAACAATTTGCGCATACCAATGTCTCACAAACAGCCATGACCAATTTTATCTGGGGAGTTATTGGCCAGGACACTGGGGTAAACTCCCTTCTCTTTTCCGATTGTGCCACGGGAATGCTTACCATTTACCTGAACAGGCAGACATGCACTTCATTGGAGCATCAGCCCAGACTTGTTTAGTGGTTTCAAAGTCCTAATCTGGGGCTTGAACCCACAGCCTTCCGACTCGGAGGCAAGAGTGCTGCCAATGGAGCTAAGCTGACACCCAATTGGCTTGGATAACTTCAAGAATAATTCTAAATTCTGCATAAAAACCACAACGTATGGTATTGGTCTTGGCTTCAGCTCTTGAGAGCAGGTCAGACATGTCCTGTTTGATTGTGAAATGCAGTCGCTATATCTTTTGCCTCCTGCAGGCTGGGTGTGTAGCTCTCCGCCATCATCATGTCCAGCAGAGGTGGAAAGAAGAAAACGACCAAGACGTCACGGTCCGCAAAAGCTGGCGTCATCTTCCCGGTTGGGAGAATGCTGCGTTACATAAAGAAAGGGCACCCGAAATACAGGATTGGCGTTGGTGCTCCTGTATACATGGCCGCAGTTTTGGAATACCTTACTGGTGAGTCACTAAAATCTACCTCGTTAGGAAATGCACTCACCGTCTTCAGACGCAATGAGATCCGTGCAGCCATTTAAACATGGCAGGAGTGAGCGTCATGTACGGGAGATTAATCTTTTGTGTTGCTGTTGGCGTTCGCCTTTGCCAGCTTTGTTTTAGTCGAAGCGATCTCATTCCGTTGACTCTATTAAACTGAAAAGGAATGTTATCTTTCAGCTGAGATTTTGGAACTGGCTGGTAACGCTGCGAGAGACAACAAGAAGGGTCGGGTCACACCCAGGCACATCCTCCTGGCGATCGCAAATGATGAAGAACTGAACCAGGTACAGAACGGTCTGCAGTGTGAAAATCTTCCTTGGAGTTAAGAACTTAAGAACATAAGAAATACCAGACGTTAAAAGACCCAGGTCCATCTAGTTCGCTTTCCACCTTCCTGGCGGTCGCTTGCACATATGTCCCGAACTACCTATGTTACTATATCCCATCATGTTATTTCCTAAAAGAAAACTTATCTAATCTGTGTTTGAAGGAATCAACATTTCCTGCTTCAACCGTCTTCCCAGGGAGCCTGTTCCACAGGTTTACTGTTCGCTCCCTGAAATAGTGTTGGCGTAGATTCGGTCTGAATTTACCCCCCTCCAATTGTAAGCAGTGTCCTCTGGTTTTACCGTATATTGATATATCGGATGGTATATCTTTAGAGTTGTCTATCGAAATGTGCAATAAAATGGAAAGATTCAGACAGTCAATGCTTTGGATGACAAAATCATTATTCACACTTTTAGTGTTACCTCCAAACTTTTCCAAGGTTGTGATTGCCGGCCTCCCCAGCTTCACTCTCCACAAGTTCTGCATCTTCCAGATCTCTGCAGCCCACATCCTCTCCCACATGAGGCTCCATGATCCCATCATTCCCACCCTCAGCCAGTTCCACTGGCAGCCTATCCCTCGGTGAATCGAATGATCCCATCATTCCCAAGTTCCACTGGCAGCCTATCCCTCGGTAAATCGACTTTGACATCCTCATCCTCACCTTCAAATACCTCCTCCATGGTTTTGCTGCCCTCTACCTTTGTGATTGTTTACAGTCCCACACCCACCCCTTCTGCTCCATCAGAGAGCTTTAGCCTCTTTGCCTCTCCTGGAACTCTCTTCCAACATTTCTCTGTCTTGGCCCTCTGCTTTCGAAACCCGTCTGAACAGCACCTATAGCCTCCCCTCTACCCTCCCCATCCCACTCCCTGCTCGGGTTCCCACTCAGTCACTGTAAAGTACTTTGAGACATTCTTCCTACATGAAAGGCACTATGTAAGCCCAAATTATTGTTGCTGTTGTTCTTTAGCCATGATTTAGATAATGTGGAGAGTATCTGTATTATCCAGTCGAAATGCCGCTCATTCATTGGCAATTAAACATCTAATTTGATCTAAGAAATGTTTTTAATAATGTGGTATTCTTAACCTGTGACTTGATGGCTCTCTCTGCAGCTGCTGAAAGGTGTCACTATTGCTAGTGGGGGTGTATTACCCAACATTCATCCAGAACTACTGTCAAAGAAGCGGGGATCCAAAGGAAAGCTCGAAGCCATCATCACCCCACCCCCAGCTAAAAAAGCAAAATCACAATCTGCCAAGAAGTCAGGAGGAAAGAAAGGCAAAAAGGGATCAGGAAAAGCAGGAGCTAAGGTAGGACTCTACAAAGGCTCATTAGCTGGGGACCTAGTGGTAGCACAATGGTATTTTAGTTTCATATGATAGAGAATATTTAATAATATAATAATAATCCTTGAATTTGATATAACGCCTTCTCATGTCGTTGAGCCATCTCAAAAGCGTTTCACAGAATATAATAATTATCCTTGAATTTGATATATATCGCGTCGTCGAGACATCTCAAAGTGCTCTACAGAATATACTGTAAATATTTGATGTTTAAGCTATTGTATGAATGTCATCTCAACTTTTAAGTTGTGTTGTGCCCTTGAAATAGACTCCAGTGTTCTTTCTAATATATATAGGCAGGGTTGGTGGGCTGCTTATTTAGTTTTACTGCGTGTTAATGTAGTACGTTGGGTGCCTGGGTATATTGCAGTGAGGATATCAGCCCTCTGTATATTGCAAAGTACTGACACTCCCAATACGGTGCTGGGGGAATGCTGCATTGTTGGAGGTGCTGTCCTTCAGGTGAGACGTTAATCAGAGGTTCTGACTGACTATCCAGATGGATGTTAAAGATCCCATGATGCTGTTTGAAAAGATAACCGAGTTTTTCCAGCCAACATTCCCCCAGATAATATCGGTGAGCAGCGGTTTGTGGGACATTGCTGTACGCAATTTGGCTGCCGTGTTCGCCTACACGTATACAATCACTACACCTTACAGCAAATCTTATGAAGCACTTTCAAGTGTTTCAACCATGTGATAAGGCACTATATCAAATGCAAGGGTTATTATTACCAATCAGCATTTCAGCTCTCAAGCCTAAATCAAGTACTAAAAAATCCAAACATGTTCTCCTATTACAGAAGAAGCAGGCGGAGGTCAGCAAAGCAGCGACTGCGGACAGTACCACCGAGGGCAGTCTTGGAGACACCTTTACTATTCTCTCCACCAAAAGTCTCTTCCTCGGACAAAAGGTATTGAGAGGCATGAAGTGCCAGCTTTCTCACTGAGCCTGGTATTACCATTCCTCTTCTATTCCACAGTGATTAGGTACAAGCTCGTAGACTCTTCTGGTGTTATTGTTAGAATACCCAGTCATTGCTAAAACTTTTTTGGTTCATTTAAAAACAATCAATTCCTCTCAGTTTCTTAATGTTGCTGTTTTGCGGCACAAATGAAAAGTCTTATGTTATGGACGATTAATATTCAAGATTCAAAGCCACTTTTTACAACATACAATATAGATACCAGGACCATGTTGCCAATATTGCTCTGATCTGAGGTGGCAAGAACCACACAATATTATCTGACATGGCTTCCAAGTGTAAAGCCTGAGGAAAGGTGGAAGATAGTGGGCAAAAGCACCCCAATTTAGAACAATGTTTCAACAAATAGTGGGCTGATAAGATCATTTTACAAGGGATATCCCACATCAGTTGTTATTCCCCTCCTAATTTTAAACACATATCTATTGGGTAAGGTGCATTTATGACCTGGTCTTACAAAAATTGGTTGCTAAACATTGTGGCGTTAAAACACAATGTGCAGTTTGAGCTTACTATGGTTGTCTCATTATAAATTCCCATTAGGCATGGTTAATAAATTTACCGGTGATATATAAACCATCCCATTGAGACATCAAAGTGAGTTTGGTGGATTGCTTTTTTGTGTGTTGTCTTTGAGCTAAACTTGTCCTCGTAAACAGGACTTGAGCTTCGACCATCGATTCATTGAACAATGTCAGTTGAATTGGTTTTGTGCTACAGAATGAACACACACAATTGAGTTTTTTTCGGAACTTCACTGAATGTTCAACTTCATTTTTCTTTTAAAATTAAAGTTTTTGTGAATGGGTGATCCCTTGGGAGAGATTTCTCAAATGTTTGGGCTTATTTTTGTTGGATCCGGTCATGAGTGATTTTCTAACTGCACTCCATGGAGCCCTGTTGGAAGATGGTGTTTGAGTCCTAACCCCTGGTATATAAAGACACGATCGTGGCTATGACTGCACTTGGATGCAGATGACCGACTCGCTTCCTGAACTGAGCCGGTTTCAATACTAAAAGCAAAAATGATTGACTTTGGTTGTCAGTCACCATCAACGACACTTCCTGCTTGCTTCCCAAGCACAAGGCAGGAAATGACGTTGGTGCCAACCTGATGACTGAGGTTGTTCATTTCTTTCAGCGTGAATGTTAAGCTAAAATGGCCAATGTGCAAGGATATTTAGGCCAGGTCGCCGCCGACGTCACTTCCTGTTTTGCTCATGCTCGGCAAAACAGGAAATGATGTCAATGTAACGGCCCAGAAGTTGGCCATTTTGGCGTGAACAGCTGGCCAGGGCGCAGGAAGTGAGCGGGCTGGCTGCCCGAATCTGCAGTGGATGAGGTATAACGCATTTAACAATGGGGTTTTATAAGATATAATATTTTATAGTAATTGTACGGTACATGTTTATAATGGGGCTGCACTGTATAGCTAATCTTAAACAGATCATCTGAAAAGCATTACCTTCTTCAGTCCCTGTCTTGACTTCTATCACTTTGTTAATTTGTGCTGTTTTAAATGTATAGGCGCTGACCCGGGCAGGTCAAGACTCTAGGCAAGATGCTTTCATTTTTAGCCAATGCCTTTGTTTAAGTTCGTCCCACGATCCCAATGGCTGGTTCTTGTGTCAAGTCCCACAGTCACGTGTTTCAGAACTTTGTGTTTTTTCTCCACCAGTTTGCTCCACCCCATGCGTCCCTTCTGAAGATGGCTCATGCTGATTCCATGCCCTTTTAGCGTTTTTCTTCACGTGTGAGTGCTGACGGGGAATGTCAGGAAACTATTCAGCCGTGCGTGGGGCATTAAACCCTCGCTCCATTTTGTCCTGACTAGGAGCCACACGTATATTTTGAGCAGGTGGCACTGGCTGGAGAGAAAAGGGATCCTGGCTTGTGTTATTTCCATCCTCCCTAAACCTAGGACACTTGAAACCATTGTGGTCTGTGTGGCTCAATAGCACATTCAACCCTGCAAACCACATTCATTTACTTTTGCTGCTAACCCACATTCTGCATTTGTCCCCAGAGCTATTGTGCTGGATCTTGAGAGAGACTGGCCACAGAGACCGAGAAAAAGGCAAGAAAGGTGCCTGATCAGACTGTTAGCAGAAAAAGTAAATGAATGTGGTTTGCAGAGTTGAATCATAGAAATTATAGCACAGAATGAGGCTGTTCAGACATTGGGTTATGCTGAAATTGACCATTCTAATCCCTGTTCCCTGCAATTTCCCAGAGGCTTTTTTATTGTTACTCCTCATGTATTGTTCTTTTCGATATTGAAGCCTGTGCAGAGGGGATTATTTATAAAAACGAATTTGGCCGTTCCTATCACATACTCCAAAACTTCTACATATAGAATCATGGAAATTTAGAACGTAGAGAAGGAGGCTATTCGCCCCATCGAGCCAGCAATCGACTCTCAGAGAAAGGTGTTCGTTCAACCCACTACCCTGCCCTATTCTCATATCCCTTCAAACCTCTAAACTTTCATATATTTGTCTTATTTTCCTCTTGAAGTCGATAAATGGATTCAGCTTCTACTACCTTACCTGGTAGGGTACTCCCAGCAACTCCCCACATGGGATTCCCCACATCCCAATGACTATCTGAGTGAAAGAAATTCCTTCTAATTTGTCCAAGGTGCAAACCAAATTGAGAGTTCCATGCCTCCCACCTACACATGGAAATTCCCGTGTATAGGTGGAATAGAATACGCACTTTCCTGCTACTTACTTACTTAATCTGGAGCTCATTAGGCATAGATGGACAAGAGCCAAGTCGTTGGGGTACTGCTGGAGTTTAACCAGCTAACACCACATAGCTTGCCAGTTAGGGAGAGCCATTGCCAGAGAAAGAACAAGTAGACCCTTAGGTAGACCTTAGAGAGCGAGGCAGTAAGTTGGGCAGTACGTTTCTATGTGGGATGCTAACTAGGAAGAATAGGGTAACTTTGTCAAATTGGGAGGAGCAGAGAGAGTATGTGCAAGTAAAATATACAGGATCTTCTTCAAATGATAATAATAATCCTTGCATTTGATTGTGCCTTATCACGTCTTCGAGACGTCTCAAAGCGCTTCACAGAATGCTGAGTGGAGGAAATGCACTGTTACTTGCCAGGAAGCTGCGAGCATGTCCTGAGTGAGAGGAACTATAATTAGCTTCAAGGTTCCCAAGCTGGAGAGTGGGAAATGTTGTGACAAGGGTTTTTTTTCTCCTGATTTCGATCCAGTGACTTTTGGCACCAAATGAAGATGAGGTCAGCCTCCAGCTCACACATGAAAATAATTATTTTGCCACCTGTGGAATCCGAAACCACTACGAATCAGGAAATTATTTGATGCGAGTTTTCAGGGAGAAATGTATGAAAGTCGTAACAATTTCGGAGCAATTTTAAAAGCAATTTCACCACCAAAGTTCCCAAACGTTGACATCATAATAGCTGGGTTTCATCTCCCTTTTCTCTGCCCATCGCAATTTGTTTCAAATGTAATAAAGATGTATTGTTGAGTCCTGTAGCTCAGTGGTTAGAGCACTCGCCTCGCAAGCGAGAGGACTTGGTTTGGAATCCCTAATACAGTGAAATGTTGGCCCAAGTTTCCTTACTCCACACGTCTCTGTTCACTTAGCAGTAAGTAGGAACCCGGTTGTTAGTCGACTGGCGGATCACTTTTCCGGGGGTAATAATCCCTTAAAAACAATAATAATAATAGTTTGGTCACTCAATCCACGGCTGTCTGTGGGACGCTGCGTGAGCAATTGGCTGCAGCTTTTCGGCCACAAAATATGCAGTGAATTCACTTCTCAGTGTATGCTGTGAAGCATTTTGAGACGTCTCGTGATATGGTGCTATATCAAATGCAAGGATTATTATCAGTGTTATTATTATGCAGGTGGGTTTACGTTTTACTGACGTCCTCCAGTTAGCGCAATGTGGCTTCTCATTTCTAAAAGAGTGCTCACATTCTTGATGTCCCACTTCCTTCCCTCCCCCGTTGAGCGAAGTAACATGTATTCTAACCTCCAGCTTTTCTCCCCTAATTTTCCGTGAAGCCCTTTCATCTTCACAGAGCTTGACTGTTCTTTTCTGCTTCTGCGATTTGCTTCCCTCCCCCCCCCCCCCCCCCCCCTCCCCCACACTTTTCCTTTTCTCTTCCACCCTATTACTTTTGTATCAATGCTTTTCCTTGCAGTTACACCTCATTCACAGTGAACTCAGTAACATAGCAAGCTTCGAAGTGGAGGCCATTATCAATCCTACCAGTGCTGACATTGAGCTAAAAGATGACCTAGGTAAATGATTACATGACTTTGCAGGTAACCGTTGGCTGCGAGTATTATGGAATTAAAAATCTCCTGCTAGATTCTGGTCACTGGATGCAATGGTAATTTTTATTTAGTTCTCACTGGGGTGATTTTAGATGCCGACAGTGAGCACTTTTCCATAATGAGTTCCAGTTAACTGTTACCTGCCTCCGGTGGGCTGCACCGTCCTTTGAAAAATCCTTTCCACAGGTCGCAAAGCAAAGAGTTTTAAAAATGGCTGTACTGGAATGGAAACAGATGAACGAAGAGTGTTTCAAGAATTGAATGAAAATGAAAAAGGGCTCTTTTCAAAAGATCAACTCCCTGAATCCATTAAAGGGCCACTGGCTTTGTGAAAATAGGTGCCTAACACAAAACCTTTTTTTTCTCTGCTTGCAAAGGATAAACACCATCTTTCATTTTCATTGTGTTGTTACTGTACGTACAAGTGCTGCAATGCTTCATACCAATGTGATTTCTGCTGTTGTGTTTGTGTCTGTGTTTGTGAATAGATCCGAAAGGGTTGTGCCAGGCACGTTTTCACGAAGACAGTACCACTGGTGCCTTTCCTTAAAAAGTATCCTGAAAATATTCAGAGAATTGTTTTTAAAAAATACCCATCAAAGTGTGAAAATATTGCAGGTTTGATAGAATAGCACAACAGGGTATCTGTGTGGTCTGATGGAGGTTTAATGGCTGGCTCACATGCCTAGAACACGAATCACCTCCATTCTTCGATTCGAACTAAAAACTTAAAAATAACTTTGCTCGGCCCATTGCTCTAAGGATTTTTGAAAACGTTTTCCAAGTTTAAAAATGAAACTTCGAAGTGATTGATTTAATCGATTTGATCGATTTGATTGATTTGGTTGATTGGTTGATTGGTTGATTGACCGATTGATTGATTGATTGATTGATTGATTGATTGATTGATTGAGAGAGAGAGAGAGAGAGAGAGAGAGCAATTTCGGACTTTGAGACAAGTGCTTGGATCTGACCTGCTTCAAGGATCATTTCAGCGCTCTGTGAATTTTAAGTTTTTTCGTTTGAATTACGTCTGATTTTGTTCACCCGACACAGATTTTTATTTTAATGGATATCAGGGTTTGGAGGGGCCTCTCTGAAAGACTCTCTCTGTTCAGTGTTCCAGTCTGTCGGCTTTCTCTCCAGCATGGTTGATATTCTCCTGTCTTTGTTTGACTGTTGTAGTTACAAGTTGTGCAGGCTGACATTGCCACAATCGACAGTGATGCTGTCATTCACCCTACGAACTCTGATCTCTACACTGGTGGGGAAGTAGGTAATGGAAACTTCTGTGCAGTGACTGCATGTGAATCAGCAAAGCAATCTCCTTCCCGCTTGCTATTTAGATTTGTGCTTCCAGCTTCCAGCAATCTTTCAAATTGAGTTAATGAATCGCAAAACGTACGGCTCGAATTTAGTTCAACCTTTGCGTTCAAGTTGCAGTCCCTTTCGTCAATTACACATGAATTGCACAAGCAAATGCCCATTGCAATCAGTGCGTTCAGCTCCATTCAACAGTGGGAATAATAATAATATTGTACGGCAGTGATGTATAGTATAATCTACAAGTAGTGGCCCTCTGTGAGCTATTGGCAAGACTCTCCGCTTTTTGGGCCAGAATCTATAACTTTCGCCAAGTGGACCATTTTTGAAATGTTATTTTGGAAGCAATTGAATTGTGTTAAAGAGTCACAGGATGAAAAAAAATCAGGGCTGTGTTCCAGGTGATTTGTAGCACAAGTCAAGCCAGTGTTGTGTCAAGGTCATCATCAGGAAAACAGTTTGAAGTACACTGCCAGCAGTCATCATAATTGACGCCAAGGTTCTCGATAAACTCAAGGGGATGAAAACCTACAAATTCTCTACGCTAATGAACTGAACCCAGGGTATCAGGAGAGACAGGAGATTTGTCTTGCGCTGACAGACATAATGAGTGAGTCAGTCATGATTGGTGAAGTTCCAACAGACTGAAAACAAGCAGGTATTGATCTCGTATTCAAGAAAGGTAACAGCACCAAATCAAACAACTGCAGACCCGACCTCAGTAATTGAAAAACTGATGGAATCATTCATCGGAAAGAAAATGGGACATTGCGTGTTTAAAATAACCTGGTAAGTGACAGTGAGCACAAATTCAGAAAGATCTTGTCTGTCCAAATGCTTAGACTTTTTGAGGAGCTGAATTCCCAAATTGACTGTGCAAAGCTATTTTTGACAGAACATACATCAACTTCCAAAAGGCCTGACGCATTCTCATTGGTGCCATCCAATTCAAGTTGCCAATAGCACCAAGTTATGTGGAATCAGAGGAGGCAGCAAAGGTCTTATGAATAGACCTTGATAGGGTATGAACATGGGCCCCATTGATCACATTATCTGGGCTCAAACATTAAGAGCAGCCATTTAATGGCCAGCAGTGGGGGAAACCAACAAAAGAAGGCACTTGGAGAAAAGGGTGGAGAAAACTGGCAAAACAAAGCTATCTTCTTGAGCTTTCAAGAAGGATTCATTGAAAGTGAAAAATATGTGCGTTTCTGCAAAGAGCAGTCAGAAAGTTTAAGCTTTATTACACTGTGATTCTGTCAGTTCAGCAAAATGCATACAAGGATCCAATAACATTTCAAAATGTGTTCAGTCTCTCTCGGTTAATGAAAATGAATTTATGTCTTTTAAATATAACAAATGCAAGGATTATTATTATTATGATTTTTCTTATTATTAAATGGAGCTGAACGCATAGATTGCAATGGCCATTTGCTTGTGCAACTCACACGTAATTGACAAAGGGGACGTCAACTCAAACGCAAAGGTTAAATCTAAATTTAAGCCGTATGTTTTTAACAAAGCTAAACTCCCGCTTTGTTACTTTTTTTTACGTTTTTAATGCACCATTTATTTCCATGAATTCGACCTGATCAAAATATGTCCTTATTTAAATTAATCTCAGTGAAGTAGGAGGTTCGACTCGCTACGTTAATGTTGCTGGACGTAGGAAGTGACATACCAGCTCTTATCAACAACTTAAATTGCAATTTTTTGTTTGAACTCATTCACGACTAAAGACACCATTTGGTGTTTAGAGTATCAGTAGGACAGCAGATGGTGCCTATACTGTGTTGGGCTGAGTGCGTGTGGTTTGAAGGCGATGCCTTAGCTGTTGCTGGTGCTCACAGCTAACCTGAAACATGAGAGTTAATATGACGCAGTATTGCACACCAAAGACTGTTTGAAACGTGATCCCTCACACTCATTTTTCTTCTCTACTTCTGTTTCCAAGAAGCACCTTTTCACTTTGCATCTGCTCTCAGCACCAAGATGTAACACTGGTTAGATACAGGACAAAGCTTCCTCTCTTCTGTGTCATTAAGCTATCCCTGTTGATATATAGACTTGGGTTAAACCCAAAGGCTTGCTCCTCTTTGCTCCATCTAGTTTTCCAAATAAGATGTTCCACAAGTAAGATTCAGACGAAAGCCCCTTTTATATTACTACATCTAGCACTCCCAGGTTATATACATGGCACAAATTCCTCTATAATGTTATGCAACAAAAAGTGTTATCCAGTTCATCAGTGTGGTATTTGCCTCTCACTTGACCCTTTACAGTTATTTACTTCTAATTTGCACCTGAAGTGTGAGTGATCATTTTTCTTTTTGTTGTGGATTCACACTTAAGAAGGAATAGGTTCTAATTATCCAACAGTAATTTGTAGAGAGCCCGTGCAGACCTCAAAAAAAGGAGTCTTATATCCCGTTGATTGTTCATGGATTTGATCCTTTTCCTCCCCTCTTCCACTGAAGGTGTGAACTGATGTTGGCTAGGAATTCCTCTCCATAGCAGCACTGCTATTAAGAAAGTGGTACCTTACCTAACATCATTCTTCCTGTCTGCTGTGTGAGCCTAGATAGTGAGCGTCAGCAGAAAATTAGAATTACTATTAAACTTGATCTTTACGCTCCATCTACTCACCTGATTTCCCCCTCCACCCACCTCTCTAAGCAATACAGTCAGATACAATCTGGTAGCTCAAAGGTAACACCCAAGCACTCACTCAGTCTACTTTTGTTTTGCAGTCAGAATAAAAGGTTCAACACTAATGTCTCTTTTACATCTGATTATTACCAATCTTGGAGCCAGTGGTTCAAAGGAGATTTTAAAAAAAACATGTGTTCCTGGAGTTTGACTTGACTGCAAAACGTGGGATCATTTCCAAACGGGATCACGTTTCAAATTAATTTTTCGGTTGGTAATATTCAAATTCCGTAAGTCTCTGATTTGGTGTGGGCACCTTCACTTTGACTCAGCAGTTTTGCTTTCTGCCGTAAATTTCGGTAAATTTGTTTGCTGACTGAATATTTTGGACTCCGATATCGCAGTTGTATCCCCGCCCCATGCACAATTTTAATGTAAGTCTCGGGCACACAGCAGAATAAACGGGGAGTTCTGCACAACCACATTTTACAAGGAATTTCAAGTTTTCTATCCATTGTGCAATGTTCCATCCGACTATTCAGGGGCAGTTTGCGGAATATGGCACAATGCATATTTGCCACACACTTGTTTGTGGATAACCTTTCTGTGTCCATCTGAGTGCCCAGCTGGGGAAAGCGAGCCTGTGTGGCAACACACTCAAAAAAAAAACTTCTTACAATGTTTTAATTCTAATTATGAGCGGTTTCCTCATTAAGACCCAGATCCCGACTGCCACCCCCCACAGTTGTGTTGTCGTCTGTACAGCAAGTTCCTTTTCGTGTGTGTGTGTGTGTGTGTGTGTGTGTGGAGGCCTGGGTGAAGTTACAAGCTGAGCAGAAGTGTGAGTTAGTCAGCCAGCGAACTCATCAACTGGAGTGCGTTGGGAGCCACGCTGCAATTGGCCTAGGTTGACTCCCAGGGAAGTGGGAAATGGTGCAAAAATCTTTCTGAAAAAAAAAGAGATCCATTACTTGTCCAACATTTAAATGTCTGCTGCAGCTACAGCTTTGAATTCCAATTGGGTTGCTGTCAACGGGCAAAGCTGTTCAGAGCCCTGACGTGTGTTTTGATGTAAGGGTGCAAGACTTGCTTTGTGATTATATTTAGCACTGGGGTGGCAATGATTGGGTTGCAGTGTTAACCGGGAGTAACGTGCAGTGTAAACGATCTTGTTACCGAGCTTCTAATTTTCTGCTATATTGCCTCATACCACACGCCAGGGTTGATAAAGTTCTACTGACTCGAAGGTAGTTTGAATTTTGCACTTTATTCCTATAGCGAGGGTCCACATGCGATCGCTTCAACCACACTTGTGCTCAGCTTCGAATCACTGCACTTGTTTACCCTGACAGCAGAGGAAACCACAACTACAGCTTTTCGCATTCTCTGTCGATGTAGTGGTTATGTAACACCCAGCAGTTGCAGCATCAATCGGTTCTTTCTGTCTCAATCGCCCAGCCAAATCAAACCCACAATATCATTTTTAAGTGCTCCTGGAAAAGTGACATTCATTCATTCAGAAAATCCCAAAGTATCTTCTTTGGCAGTTTCTTGCAATATTTTGTGAGTTTTTTTTTAAAATTACATTCCGTGTTAATTTTATACGAAATTGGTGGATGCCACTAAAATCTGCTTTAGAGACTTGTCAGTTACAAGGAAATGACAGACTAAAGTGTGGCTATTTGTCGTTTAACGTAACAGTGGCCTTATCTTGAGTATTCATTTGTAAAATAAACCCCAGCCATCAAATTGAATGAATGAAGAGTGGGAGATCGGAGATTGTTAGAAGATGCTTATAAATCCAATCAGGAGGCAAGTGAACTAGGTTATGAATTCATATTTGATTCAATGGCTCAGCTAGTAAAGCCACTGGTTACAGTGAAACTGAAAGTCTCAGCCCTCAACTCCTGGTCCATTGATCCCCAGCTAGAAAGTGCGGATGTTTGTGTGACGATGTTTGTGGATGTGGCCCTCTATGGTTGAATACTCTGCCACACGCACTGTCTAGCTAACGTGTGAAGAATGCCCATTTGCACGAGTGTTGAATGCTCATAAATTGGATCTCAACATGAGTAGGCAACTAGTCACTTTCAGGGCAACTGGGAAACAATTTGGAGAGATGAGAATGAGAACGAATGTGTCATTTTTAATCTTATACACTATAGACAGTGTTTTTTAAGTTGCATGTTGGGAGTCTTTGTGCAGAGTGAATAGTGAAGGATATGTCACCAGTCTTGGATATACTTATAACATGATACATCCCTGATTTTGTTTTCCAATTAGTCCTTTTGGTGTATTAGTCCCTCTGTGCACTGCAGCTTCTGTGAGAAAAAAAGCATTGCTTGTGGCTTCCTATGTGGTGAATACTTCTATATAAAATTCTATCTGTGTTATATACTCGCTTCTTATAAGCTGTTCCCTTGAAAAGTTTCCTTGTTCATGTTATTGCAACCATTAAAAGCGTGTGTAATGAATAGTAGCTGATCGCATGATTCCACTCTGCTGATATAACTGTAAATTTTAACATGGACCTTTTAGGAAGTGCTCTGGAGAAAAAGGGTGGAAAAGAGTTCACTGAGGCTGTTAATGATCTCCGCAAGAAGAATGGACCGTTGGATGTAGCAGGAGGTATGATCACTTACTTGGACTCTCAAGACTCAAAAAGCCACAAGTTTCTCTTATAAGATAATTTAACTAAATGTAATGGAAACCTACATTCCCAAATCGTGCTAAGCCAGTATGAATACCAAGCCTATTATATCAGAGGGAAAATGATTTGTGCAACCTCACTCCTGTAGAAGCTGTATTGGTTGCCAATGGTTTTATCTACTTGCATAGACTTTTTAAACGTGTTTCATCCAGAGTTGTACGGTGTTCTTCGTTCAATTCTGGTTCCACTTGCAAGATTAAGGTGTTTTGCACTCTAATTACCACATACGTCAACTGTACAAGGGTGAGAGAGATTGAATTGACCAAAAAAATCTTGAGTGCGTACACATGAGATTTAGAGGCAATTACAGATAAAAGATTTAGGGGGTAAGAATTGCGTACAGTGTTATAAACAGTAACTTTGGTGAAGAGTGACACTTATGTCTTTAGTGACTGACATCGCCAAAGATAATGTGCGTGACACTGAACAGAAATGTTACCCGTTAGACAAACTCCCATCAAGGTCTAAGTTTACTCTGTATATATAGTACATTAGACTAGAGGAAGGTGTACTCACTGAGATGAGTCACTAAAATTGTTCCATTCCTCTCCATTGCTAGCTGTCATCAGTGCGGGCCATGGGTTGCCAGCTAAATTTGTTATCCATTGCAACAGTCCTGGCTGGGGGTCGGACAAGTGCGAAGAGTTCCTGGAGAAGACGGTGAAGAATTGTCTGGCAATAGCAGATGAGAAGAAGCTGAAATCAATTGCCTTTCCTTCAATTGGCAGTGGCAGGTATGGCATCTTCCAGTACTGGAATTCTCCCCTATATTATTGAAACAGTGCCAACTGCTTTGGTCAGACAACACCCACAACACCTGAACTTCAATGTCTTTTACTTACTAGAGAGACAATTGTTCCATTACGTGCTTTGCGATGCTTAGCTGTGCCCATCTTCGGTAATAAAGGACTAACGTATTGCTAATTTCTCAACAGAAATGGGTTCCCCAAGCAGACAGCTGCCCAGCTGATCCTGAAAGCTATTTCCGGCTATTTTGTTTCGACAATGTCATCCTCAATCAAAACCGTCTACTTTGTTCTTTTTGATAGTGAAAGTATAGGGATCTATGTCCAGGAAATGGCAAAACTGGATGCTAATTAAAGATATCGTACGCTGCATGAAGGGGTTTCTTGACATTGTGACACACACTATTCTTTTGTAAGGTCATCTAAGCAGCAAGGGGACAGGTAATTCAAAGTCAGCTTTTATTTAGCATTTGTCGTTTAATTTTACTTTAGCACTGACATTTGGCTTGAAATGGATTTATGCACTGTTATCTAAAAGTCACTAGAAATTGTTGTAATTTAGTATATATTTTGTAGTTTTTAATTTGCATCGGAAAAATAGTACAACACGAAATATTGCTGACAGTTTGGATATTTTCAAATATTAATGGGGAGAAGAGGGGCGTCTGTTGTTGTGGTACATTCGTGTGCACCAAAGTAACTCTTTGAAACTACACGGTGCTACAAAACTGTATTTTGTTTACATCACATCTGATCTATCAGTAAAAATGGTTGTTGGGAATTATAGTTAAACATTGAATTTCTGTGATTTGTTTATTAAATTGTTGGACTGTTGTGGCACATCTGTCCTCTATGTATGTCTGGTGGTGCTTTTTTTTCGAACCCAGAACGAGTCTTACATTGTAAATCTTGATTGATCTGAAACAGCAGATCAGGGATTCGGCAGATGGTTTAGGTGCAGATTGGCAAGAGCCCAGAGTGTGGGTTAGACCATGTAGTCATCACAGCTGAATCCTCTCCTTAGCCAACATGTGAAAACACATACACACACACACACACACGCACACAGGAGGTAACGTTCATGGTAACCGGATAGCAAACCCGTGCAGGATCCCTGACCCAGGCTGAAGACACTGGTTATCTGACAAGACTTGGATTGAATCTGGAACCTACCTGGTCTCTGTATCTTGGTACCACATAACAGGGCATGTTTAGTCACTAAGCCATTGAGAGGATGAACTTTCATCTTGAAGGAAGATACATCAGTTGTCAACAATTGAGCACAGACACACACACATCAGTGGCCATGTATTGCACCTTTCTAAATGCTGTTGGGCCATTTTCTTTTGATGGCTTGCTCCCACACTAAAAGTACGTGCTACTCAGGTGTATACTTATACCCGTGAAAACTTCAAAGCATAGTTTCATTTTTGTGCCGTTATTACTCCCACATTCCCTGGGTAAAGTAAACCGTACAGATGGTGAGATCAGAGAAACACCTGTGCCTTTAAGAAAGGTTTGATCCAGAACTCACATGGTCTTCTCATACTGAGTCCAATAATAATAATCCTTGCATTTGATATAGCGCCTTATCACTCTTCAAGACGTCTCAAAGCGCTTCACAGTATACACTAAAATTAATTGACTGTATATTTTGTGGTTCACTTCTCAGCTCTTCAGTTTTTTACCCCTGGGATATTGGTATCAGTTGCCAATCATTTGATGCTCAAGGACAAGACAATCTCCGGAAATCTCTCAGGTTATTAATGTTTCTGCTTGCCAGGTGCCGAACTTTCCCATTTCATTTCTATATTATTAGCAGAAAACATTGGTCCTGTGGTTGCCTCCCACCAAAGCATAATTTTTTTTTATATAGAATTTTAGGAGAGGTCAAACATACAGAGGCTTTGAAAACATTGCACAGATTGAAATGGAGATTTCTGTAAAGATAAGTTGGAATCCATGTTCTGTTCCGTTACAGGCCATCTATCTTCTCATGTACTCACATCTAACAACAAGGAATAAAGAGGGCATTTCTTCCTTGACCTTCAGTAAGAAAGCATTATAAGTACGAGAAATAAATCTCCTTAAATTTACTTGCCAAATGCTACTAATCGGTAACACTGAAGACATAGGCAGGCACGACGCTTCTAGGTCTTAATTCTATCGTCTTGGGAGAAGGAACTTCAAGAGCTACTGTGTATGAAATATATTCCCTGAAGGACTGAAATGTTACAGAGCTTTTCATTTAGGAAACAGGATTGTCAAGTTCAAGCAGTAATAAGTGGACTCCCATCCCATATACTGTACATACCAATGGAATTCACACCCTCGACAGTATTGGTAACTGCCGTTGGGTTCAATAGAGTTTACTTGACTGAATAGGATTGGGGAAATACAGTGCAACCTACAGAAGCAATCAAACCATTAGTGGCCAAGACTATAGTGAACCGCACACAAACTGGAGTCAAGGAGTTTCCAAACCAACTTACCATGTCTGTACCCCTGTGCCAATAAATCCTACCAGTGACAGTGTTTGTCAGTAGCTTTGATGGTTACCTGGACACATACGCCTACTCTTCACTCCCCGATGTCTTTATTTTTCAGCACAGGATCACCTCCCGGAGACTTTCTGGTTTTCTTTACGAATCAGCACATGGATATCAACACAGCCAGGAATATAAAACTGAGGGGACACGGAAAACATTTCAAAACGATAATCCCAATACTTGGTCAAGTGTTAGCTGCCATACTGTAGGATCTTGAGGGCACAGAACACGCTCAATGTCAGAAACAAGCAATTTTAGTCTTCCCTCACTCACATACTAGCCCCAAATCCACAAGCTCGGTCTAACACAGGCTTATCTCTCAGAATACATTATTGTACTTGATATAGCACCTATAACGTCAATGTTTCTCAAAGAAGTTTGCAGTAAATACTATTAGGTGTAGTGATTGTGTATTTGTTGACAAAATGGTGACTAATTTACACACACACACACACAAACACAACAATTTCCCACAAACAGCCCAGGGGCTAATAACCAACAGGGGAATTGGGGCCAATTTCATCAATGAGGTATTGTGAAGCCTGATGCTTTCCTGCCTGGAGTTCACATTCACCCCACCACATGTTCATTGTCAATGTGAATGTGCGAACATGTTTTTGTTGCTAAGGGCTGATTTTAGACATTGCATCGGATATTTGACAGCAATAAAATCAAATCAACTGCACGTCATGACAGTAAACCAAGAACCCGCCAACACACGGCAGATGCATTTTGGAATACGATGAATACGGGAATAAACGAAAACCAAAACATTAGCAGATATGACGAGTAACGAAAAAGCCAAACAAATAAAAATCAATGCGGAAGAAATCAATGCCGCCTCGTCTGGTGCCATGTGACCAGCACACCCTACTTCCTATCGCTTTTACTTTGAAAACAAGTCAATAAACATGTCTGTGGTTCTAAGTGCTCCCAGATTGCTTGTTGGTCTAGCTTTTAATGAAGTTGCACTTGTCTGCACATAAGCTGCAGCACAGTGAGAACCTCAATCATTTTAATGCCGAGCCTTTATTACGAGAATAAAGTTGGTGCAAAACCCCTTCTTGTTCCTTATCTGCAATGGTTTTAAAGCCTCGCTAACAGCAAATGTACTTCAGATTCTTCCCGCCATAAGCACTCCAATCAAGTAATACTCTTGCGATACTCAAACAGTTCCACCAGGTGTCACTGGCATTCTGTAGCTGTTGAAGTTTCCACTTACTGTGCAATTCAGTTTATCCCAGTTTAATGGTTAATTGCTAGAATTCAGAGAAGGAGCGTAGAAAAAAATAATTGGAAAATCTCAATCCAATATTCTATTCATTCTCCTGCAACTCCAGTCACTTGTATTTTACACTGAAGCCTGTGAAATGCTTTAAAGTGTTTCCCAACATGAAAGGCACCATATATGATGAATAGTTTGCATTTCTGGTCATCACATCAACCTAGGTGTCTAGACATGGTCCATTTGTATTGCTTACTCAGGACTTAGTTGCTCTCTATCTTAAAGTAAATTCATTCCAAAGTTGTTTCAACTTGATCAATTTCTAATTCTACAGAATTTCCACCTTAAACTGTATGACAATTAATAGGATTAATGCACTCTTTCAGATGTGTCCAGGACCAGACAGAATTACACAAACCAAATCTCCCTCCCTTGAGACCTATTGGATCTTCTACATACAAAGTGAAGGACATCAATTTCACGACTAAACATCTTCTATTGTATAAATGAAGCACGCAGTCTTCACTGACTGGTAAATCATGTCTATTAGATAATATCTACAAGAGGGAGAGCTTCAGGATTTACAATAGTGGCTGTAGATCTAATGAAAGTGATGCGTAAAATAGAATACATGGCCCTCCCGAAATAAAGCCTTCGAAATAACCTTTTTATTGTAAGATCTACACTGAGGAAAGCAGATTTGGAATTACAACCAGTAGCCTTAACTAGATATCCATAAGATGCATTCATCATCTATTAACAAGCACTCTATTTACCACAATAACATTTGTCTTGTCACTTTAACATCACAGCCTTCCTCCTAAGCGATCCTGCTTTGCCAGTCTATCAAATATATGTTTGTGGAAAATATGACATAAAGTAGGAGAAATTCTCGCTTACCATAGTAACTCTTTCTCCTCTGAAAGAATGCTTTTCACACATGCACATAGCCTCCAAACATTGCCTCTTTGTTCCTCCTAATACCTTTTTATTTTAGTTCTGCGGTTATTAGAACAACGCCCACATGAGTGGCTTTATTAGATGTAAGAGTCTATCTATCGGCAAAGCATCGTGCAATTAACATGCATGATTTCCAACCTTTTTGTCAAAAAACATAAGTACAGATTTAAGCCTGTCTGTGGATAGAACCCCAGGACATAGCTGGACGCTAAATTCCCAAATTAACCCTTTTAGACATAACCCCAGTAATGCTTCTTTTCTTATTTTGTTTCCAATCTTTTCTATCCTTTGTGTCAAACTGTTGATTCATCCCTGGGAATCAACTGATCTCCAAGTCCTCGTCCAAATGACCATTCTTCATTTGTGAAGCTAGATACTGATTGCTTCCAGGATATTTAACCTTGGGTGAGAAAGTATCACAGCCAAATCTTAGTCTTTTTCACCCAATCCCCACTGGTTAAAACTGATGTCGACCTTTTCATGCATTAAGACACTGAGCAGCCAGGCAATGTTTCTCATGCAGAATCACTGCTAGATCTTCTAGAAGTTCGGGAACTTGCATATCTTGGTACCTTGGCTGCCGCGTTTCACTCACAAAATATACAGTCAATTCACTTTACAGTATATTCTGTGAAGCGCTTTGAGACGTCTCGAAGACGTGATAAGGCGCAATATCAAATGCAAGGATTATTATTATTATTGTTGTTCCTCAGTACCACAATGGTGCCCTTGATCTCCCAGTTATTTCATATTTGTCACGGAACGGATGTCAGGTATGTTTGATAGACAATGGTGCATGATTTACGATGCACATAAAACTATGAATCAGATACAATGGTTCACTTGCTGAGATAAATCAAAGTAACAATTTTTGTGAACCCATAAAATACATATCACACATTTTTAATCGACAGCTTTTACAATATAAAAAAAACTTTAAGGAATCTCATTGTTCGTTTCCAACAACAGCAGCTTTCCTCTTCAGACGTTGTGACCTTGAAACTACCAGAAAATGCTAATGTTCACGGGATCTCACCGTAAAGAACATTATACATCATTCATCATCCAGAAACACTTGTGACTGAAGCTCTTGTATGTAGAAAGTCGAATGAAACCACA